TCATATATTATCTTAGCTAAACTTACTCTTAATACTTTTATCTTTAATATATATTTGCAAGTAATTTACCTACCATTACATTAGTATCAGAATACTTTAAATTTGATATGTAGTTATTAGTGCCAATGACTTTCATATATTTTGATATTATTAACCATCATTTTGCTTCAGCTCAAGGAGTGACTTATCATTTCTTATAAGATCAGTCTAGGAGTATTAGACTCTCTTTACTTTTGTTCATCTTAGAAAGTCATTATCTTTTCCATTTTTGAAGGATGGATTTGCCAGGTAAAGTATTCTTTGTTGGCAGAGGTTTTTGTTATCGTTGTTTTTATTACTTTCAATATAGTACATTATTTTCTCCTGGTTGGTAATTTTTTTTGATACTTTAACTTATTTTGTTTTGTTTTTATCTCTGTGTGTTTTGCCTGTATGTATGTCTGTGTACCACATGCATACTTATATAGAGGCTATAAGAGGGCATGGGTTACTCTGGAACTGAAATTATATGTGGGAGGTGAGAATGACTTTGCAGCCTTCAGTAGCTGCCTAAGCATTTGAAGAAAGCTCAGATACCTTTTCTAGACTTTTGGGACTGGCTTCAGAAATGAAATACCTTCACTGTCTGGGTTGAGGAAAAACACCGTGGCACCATACTTAGTGTCAAGCATGTGGTTCCAGGTGTGAAAGGAAGGATATGATGTTTTGGATCAGGAATTTGGGGTTTACAATATCAGCAATATGTAGCCCTTGGTATTGCAATGGATATTGTGGCAGAGGGGCATCTTGGTATCCTTATGATGACTGTGCCAAGCAGCTGATACAGCAGATGCTGAGTATCTAACTGGCATCAGGAATGCACACGATGATATGAGTTGGGGTAAGACCAATTGGGTATGTGTATGGGTAGGGTAGTGTACATACACACAGCTTCAAGCATAAGGACAGTAATGTATGTATACTCTATTATAAAGACTGGCTTTGTTTACCCATTTTGTTCATGGGAGCCAGTAACAGAGATGAGGCCAATTGTCTATATATGAGTATCAGTAGGGCTCAAGCTGTCAGGATGAATGCAGGCAGATGTAGGAACTAGCTATACATGCAAAACATGGCAGTGGTGCAAACAATGAGACAATGCGGCTGAGGCTACTTGTGTACATTTGTGTAGGTACAAGGGTTGACTGTGAGCATACTGAGCCATTGGGCAGTAGTAGGGTGGGTGGCTTCATACACACCTATAGTTAGAGGCATCAGAGCTTACAGTGCACATCTATGAGGGCCAGCTGTAGGAGTGAATGTGATTGTGGGGGTGGGGCAGGGGTGTAGGGTGAGTGTTGGTGATGGGAGGTAAGGGCTGGAAGGCATGCACACAGCTACATGAGATAGCCGCAGGTACATGTTCACTTGAGAGACCTGATAATAGGAGGAGTTGAGGCTAGCTGCTCATTGGCACATGGATAAAGGTGAATAATCCTGAATGATTCACCTGACTAATCACAAGTACATATGTTATGCCCAGCCAATGCTGGCACCAGGTGCATAGATCATTTGCTTACGATACACTGGTTGTACTGGTGTCTGGTTGGGTGCCCCTGGGTGAGGTAAGTTATCTCCTGATGAGAGGAAGAAGAGGCATAGTGGGTTAAACACCCAGAGACAGAAAGGGTGAAAAGCTATGGGCTCTTTGGTAGTGAAAGGGGAGGGGATCTATTTCTACTGTGCTATTGTTGGCTTTCTATGTGGTTGATGGTGTTGATCCACTAAACTAGACCCTGCAGGAGAGCAAAATAATGAAAGCTACAGGGACTGTGCAGTAGTGATCAAGAGCGAGGTAGAGGTGCCCAGTGAAGACTTCTGATATTCTCTGCAGAGCAAGCCACTGAAGACCACCATGGTTTCTGCCACATGGCTGACACTGAGAGCCCCTGGCCATCAAATTTTTCTCTAGCCATTGCCTGACATCTTGGCTATGTTGGCCTCCCCAGTGACCAGGGTGGGATGATGCTGAAGTAATTCACCTGGGAACTGTTTTGAAAGACTGGGAAAGCTGGTTGTTCAGTGTGCTATACTTTTCTCTATGAGAGGAATATGTGAATAAGGGAATTTCTTCTCTGTGCAGGGTACCACCAGTCTGTGGGAAGGGATGATATAGGTGAAATGAAACAGATGCTCTTACTCATTTTTTTGTGCAGTTATTCTCAATAGATTTTCATTGTCTTGTAATTTCTTGCTTCGATCTCAAGCTGTCCTAGATAGCTGTTTGTGTTTATGCATGGCTGTGTACTTGTCCTTTGTTGGGGGAACAAACTGGGACCTCTCCCTTTTCTGTCTCCTTGATGATCTTATTCTACACTATGTTTATGAGCCTAAACTCCAATCTGTTCCTTTCAATTATCATTGAAAAAGAGGTTTGTCGTGGTAAGCCCCAAGTGCCAACAGTATTAGGCAATTCTTCCTGCCCAAGGGTTCAGTTTTCCCACTTGTCTAATGAAAGCAAGGAACCAGGTTCTGCTTATCTAAGAGAGGCTGGCTTAGAACAAGCAGATAGAGCCTGTATACCACCTAGCCCAGATCTAGAACTTTCCAAGACGGTGATAAAACCCTCACTTTATAGTTATATGCTCATCACCTCAGCCCAGATTGCATGGGGAATGGCTAAACTCCATGCCTCAGTCACAGGAAGAAATATCTAATGACTATAGATAGCAGCCTCACTTAGCACTGTTTATATGGTGAGTACTCTGAATATACCCCCGTCCATGGCTTCAGAACCCCATAATGACTTTGAGTTGATACTGCCAAGGCTTGACAAGAAAAGTCAAGGATCTACAGGTGAAAGAGGTTGGGTCTGTAGGTATAAGAGGTCATTCTGACTCTACCTAATGTCTTCTACCCTTTCTGTTTCTGTGTCTCTTTCTTTCACCCCCAAAGCAAAGAGCCTATGGTCAAGGGAGGTACCTAATGTTCAGCCACACTTTCTAGGATTTGCTTACATGCAAAGAACTTCAAGGAGCTGAGAAGGTCGGCACAGAAGTGATGGATAAGGGCCTGCTGGGAAGCTCATTAGACTGGGAGCTGCCCAGGCCCTGTCTTCATTACTTGGATAGCTGCTTTTGTAAACATCTCTACTGGGGGGGACTCACTCTCTAGGAGAGCCAACTCTCCTCACCAGCTTTATATTGTAAACCAAAGTTGGAGGCAGAGGCCTGGCAATGGCCCATTACTCACTTTTAATGAGACAGCCAGGGAAATAAATTGGCATATGTTAGCAGAATGGCTCATCAAGGTGAGTAATTATCTTCATGACTGGGGCAGTTTACCCTCAGATGGAAGAATTTGCATCTTATCTTTCCCTGGGAGCTTTTGAGAACAAGTACCAGGAGGCCAAGTGGATCTTGACCACCAATCACAGATGTCTCCACTCAAAATCTTGGTATTTACCATGTACTTGTCATGGCCCAAACTCCCGTGTGTGTGTGTGTGTGTGTGTGTGTGTGTGTGTGTGTGTGTGTGTGT